CCAAATGGTTTATTCTAGGAATTACCCAGTTGACATAACAAAAATCAATCAATTTCCTATACGGATATTAATAGAATAAATGGGAAAAATATATGATCTCAGAATTCAAAGAAAAAGCATTTGAGAAAGTCCAACACCCTTTCCTGGGCAAAAACAACAACAGGAAGCAACCTTCACAAAAGCAGGACTAAAGGAATTTTCCCAAAAGTAATAAAGGGTATCTGTAAAAAACCTACAGCTAACACCAATCATACTGAACTGTGAAAGACAGGAAACAAGATTAGGAACATGACTGGGGTGTCTGCTCTTAGCACCCTTTCCAGCAGCTGAAAGGCTCCCTAAAAGACAGAAAAGAAAAATAAACATCCAGGTTGGAAAGGCAGAGGTAAAATAGTCTTTGCTCACAAATTAGGTACTATTAGAGCTAATAAACACGTTCGACAAGGATACAAGATAAATATATTTAAAACTTAATTATATTTCTGGGCATTAACAGTAAGCAATCAGAACATGAAATTAAGAATTTAATTTATAATAAGGGCTATGAAAATAGTCTGGAATTTGACTACAGCAATGCTGCCATATTTTATAAATACACTAAAACTTACTGAATTACATATTTTCAAAGGGTAATTTTTTTGATATATGAATCATATCTCAATAATTACATGTAGCAGAGACTTATCTCCACATATATCAAAAATTTTTTAACATGTTAATAGGAAAGCAAAAATTCAATACAAAATGGGTGCCATATATATATATATATATTTGTTGAAAGGATATATATGAATGGCAAGAAACCGACAAAGGGTGCTCAACATAGTGTTCATAAGAGAGGTGCAGATTAGTATGAGTGCCAGTATCAAATGTTGGTGAGGAGGCGGAGTACTAGAAGTCTCATTCCTTACTGGTAGGAATGCAAAATTGTGTGGCCAGTTGGACAATTACAGTTTCTTTAAAAAATTAAATATATACTTAATTCAGCTAAAAAATTCTCACAATATTGAATAAAATGGAGACATTCATCCACATAAAAATTTTAAATAAATTTTCACAGCAATCAATTTGTAGTAGTAAAATACAATCCAAGAATCCATGAATGCATGAATAAATACTAGCAAGACAGAAAAAAATAAACATCCAAATACAGTTGGTATAGTTGTATAGCAAAATGCTATTAAACAATGAAAAGGAACAAGACATTGATATATGCAGTGACATAAATGAACGTCGAAATATTACTCAAAAATGCCAAAAACAGAAGGCTATATACTGTATAATTCCACTTATATGAAGAATATTTTTTAATTCTTACTGGTGCAGTTTAGGTATACATAATGATCTTGTGCCTGTGCATGATGTATCTTGATTTCTCTTTTGTTTTCCCAATCCCCTCTCTTCAACTCTTTTCTCCCTCCTTATTTACAGAGTTTTGTTTCTATTTTATTCTCCTGATATTTTTTTCTTGCTTCCCCTCCCCCATGCCTAGTTACCCTTTGTTTTGAACAATTTCTTCTATTTCACAGTACTTTTTATACACTTTCTTATTTACATTTTCAGTATCTCACACCAGGGAAGCAATTAAATAGTCACATGTGCTGATTTATTTAAGAGTGTGGTCTCAAGGTGCATCTAATTTACCTAGAAATGTCTCAAGTTTGTCCTTTTTATGGCCAAGTAGTGCTCCATTGTATTAAAAAAAAAAACCACGTCTTTTCTATCCATTCCTCAGTTGATAGCATTTGGATTGTTTCCAAGATTTACATGTTACAAACTATACTGCTGGAAACATGGATGTGCATATATTGTGTGGTATGGTTTTTTAAATTCTTTTAGGAAGATACCTAGAAGGGGAATAGCAGGGTCAAATGGGTTCTCCAATCCTAGTTTTTGAGGAATCTCCTCACTGATACCCATAGTTGTTGCACCAGTCTACACTCCCACCAACAGTGGAGAAGGGGTCCTTTTTCTCCATGTCCCCTGTAGCATTTGTTACTGATTTATTGGTAATAGCCATTCTTCCTGAGATGAGATGGACTCTCACTGTTTAAGTTTACATGTCTCAAATGACCAATGATCTTGAATATTTTTCATATATTTGTTTTCCATTTGTGTTTATTTCTCTGAAAGGTGTGTATTCATCCCAGTTGCCCATTTTTGGATTGGGTCCTTAAATTTGGGGGGCTCTAAGTTTTTCAGTTCTTTCTATGTTCTAGATATTAAGTGCTTTGTCTGGAGAACAACTGGCTACAGTATTTTCCTACTCTCGGTTATCTTTTCACTCTATTAGTAATCTCTTTTGCTGTAAAAAAGCTTTTTAATAGGATGAGGTCCCAGTTGTTTCTTTGTCATATTTCCTACGTGATTGGAGTTTTGTTCATGAAATCGTTGTGTATACCAGTAGCTTTAAGAGTTCCACCTATTCTTTCTTCTAGCAGATTAGTGTTTTTGTTTTAGTATTTACATCTTTGATTCATCTAAATTTTACTGCATAGTGAACGACATGGTCTAGTTTTAGTGTCTGGCATGTAGAAATCCTATTTTTCCAGCACCATTCATTAAAGGGAATACTACAATAGAAGATTTTTATCTCAATCTGGTAAAGGTTATCATCATAAACCAAGAGCCAACGTCATATTAAATGGGCCAAAACTGAAAACTTTCATTCTAAAATCAGGCACAAGACAAAGATGTCCACTCCTATTTAATATAGGAAATATTAGAGCAGTTAGATAGATAGATAAATGGAATATGGGTAGGAAAGGAAGAAATTAAATTATCATTATTTGCACATTACATGATACTTTACATAGAAAACCCCAAAAACTCACCAAAAGATTTGCAGGTTTAATAACTAAACAGTAGCACAGCTGGATACAAAGTAAACACTCAAAAATCAATAGCATTCCTGTACACTAACAAGGAGTGCACCTAGAGTGAAATTAGGGAAATAACAACTTTCACAATAGCATCAAAAAAATAAAAATAAAAATAAACTACTGAAGGATCAATCTAACTAAAGAAAGAAAAGATCTATGCATTGAATATTACAGCACTCTGAAAAAGGAGATCAAACAAGATACCAGAAAATGGAAAGATATCCCTTGCTCCTGGCTGGGAAAAGCCAACATAGTGAAAATGGCCATAATCCCAAAATTGTTATACAGATTTTATGCAATCTCTATCAAAATACCTGTAGCATACTTCACAGAATGAAAAAGAACATCCCTAAATTTCATTTAGAACCAGAACCAGAAGAGACCTAGAAGAGCAAAAACAATTCTAGGCAACAAAGACCAGACGGGAACATCAAAATCCTTGACTTAAAATTATACTACAAAGCCACTGTGTTAAAAGCAGCATGGTACTTGCAGAAAACAAAACAAAAAAACCAAAACCAAACCAAACCAAAAAACAAAAAAACAGACCTGAGGATCAGTAGGACAGATTAGAAGATGCAGAAACAACTCCAAACACATTTAGTCACCATACAACAAAGGGGCCAAATATATGAAGAATTTTTGAAAGCCAAAAATGGCAGAAATGGATAAGTGGTTCTTGGGTCCAGGAATAAGTACCAAGATTGACTGCGCTAGAGCATGAGTGAGTTTTTTGGGTGATGGAATTGGTCTAAAATGTTACTGTAGTTTTGGTTGCATTATTGTGTACATCAAAATTCATTAAACTATACTAAAAATGCGTGAATTTTATGGTAGCAAATTATGCCTCAGGAAAGTAGTTTTTAAAAATTGCCTTCTATATACAAGTGATTTATAGCTTTATTTCTGAAGTTTTAAAAGTTAACATCTTTTTTTTAGCTTGCATATCATTTTATTTTCTGTGGCATATTTTATAAGTTTTACTTAATATGCAAAATTAGTTCAGTTTGCAAATGTTTGTTAACTACCTACTATGTAACAAGCACTGGGAGGACACTATTCCTACTGTCAGGGAACTCAGTCTTATAGGGAAGGGCGGTTTATTTTTAGTTACTAATAGAAAACATAAATGTAAGTATATAAGGATTTAAAGTTATAGAAAGATTGATTTTAATCTGAATAGAACTGGGTGATTTGAGATTTCATTACATAAGGTTAGAGAAAGCTTTCCAGCTTGGAAACTATCATTTGGAAGATTATAGAACTGATCCAGTGGACTATATACCCCTACCCAGTATAGTCTTTGATTAAATAAAGAAGGATTGGGGAATACATTTGTTGGTAAGACCAACCGATTTCTTTAAAAATCAACTTCCAGGATAAAAGTCCTTAGATCACTGATTCCTCTGTGGTTTTTTTGTTTGTTTGTTTGTTTGTTTTTTAGTTAGTGAGTGGAACTTCAGATTGTCTGGCTCTTAGATCTTTCAGTTAAAAAAAAAATATGCCACAACTCTACCTGCTTTTTAAAAAACTTAGTATGTTTTATACTCATTCAGCGTCCAGGTACATTATTTACTGCCTCTTGTGAATTCCATGTTTTTATTATTGGTATTTATCCGCAGCCTATGCCTTTTTAAAAATACTTTTATCTTTCCCAAATTAACTTTGTTTTTATAGAATAGCTGGCTTGTATACAAAGACTAGTGATCACATATATGACAACTCTTTTTTAAAAATAAATGTAGAGGGCCAGGATACGGCTCAGCAGCACAAGCACCTGCCTGCAAGAGTGAGGTCCTGAGTTTGATTCCTAGTTACCCCCCCCAAAAAAAAACCAAATAAAAAACCCCCAAAACTGAAAACTAAGAGTAGAAAAGAAGCAGTTGCTATGACACAGAGGAGCTAAATTTCAAAGAAAAATATTTTGGTTATAGTTGGATATTTAAAGGAGGGATCTTTTTTCTTTCATTCCTCCTCCTCCCTTTATTTCACTCTAGTTGACCATTAAAGTTTTCTTACTGCTTCCAAAGTAATTGATGAGGATGACACTGAAAATGTCTATAGTAGAAAATGTTTTTGATGAAGTATCGTGAGAGTTTTCTATTTCCTGTCTAAAAGGAAGAAGAAGAATTTTCAATTCTTGCCAGCTGCCTGGGACTTCTGCCAACATTTTACCAAACAGAACATCCATTCATCAGTGCCTCCTGTCTGGATTGGCCAGTTCCAGCATTTGATATTATAACTCAGTGGTGTTTTGAGATAAAATCATTTACGGAAAGACATGCAGAACAAGGAAAGGTATGTAAAAAGAATAGTACTCATTTACCACAGTGAAGATATGCTAATAGGTAAGAGAACAATTGAAGAATTTCAAATTTCATGTCATTTGTTCTTGGTAGTGTTTGTTAAACTGACTAAATTAAAAATGGTTTGCTCATGTAAAATTTACTTGAGTATAAAGCAAAAATATTTCAGCTAACAAAGATAAGGTATTGCTACTTCTACAGTTTGCTTTAGGTCAGCATGTTTTTATGGAATTCCTTAAATAATCATGATACTAGCCTTGGAAGATACAAAAGAATTGTAAAGTCAGCTAGGAACTTGTATTCTTATTTGAAAGAAAACTGCCTCACATTTTAAAATAAGAGATTTGGGCTAGCAGATCTAAAAGATCCCAGCTTTAACTTGTAGATGCGTTGAGCCAAGCTAAGCTTGGCTGGCAAAAGGTTTTGTATTGGAGATGAATGAACTAGGAGCAGAGTGGGGCAGCAGTGGGTGGCTGTGAATGCCGTGGCTCAGAATCTCTTCTATAGGTAGAAACACAGCTTTTGAGAAATAGGATATGATGAAGTAGTATTTTAGGGAGATTAATTCTGGTGGCATTTATTTGTTTATTTATTTAGACTGTATTTTGCATTGAACATACCCAGGTTGGCCTCAAACTTGTAACAAATCTTCTGCCTCAGCCTTCTAAGAGCCAGTGTGACAGTGTGTGCCACCATGCCCACTCATACTGGTGGCTTTTAAAAATTATTTATTTATTGATACCAAATCTGGACCTTGTGCTTGCCAGACAGGTGCTTATGCCACTGAACTATATCCCTGGCCCCCTGCTGGCTTTTTAATAGGAGAGATAGAACACAGAAATTGGTTAGGTGCTATTTTTCTGATTGTAAGTTACAAAATAACTAATGCACAAAAATATATAGGTCTTGGTGACCAGAAGCTGATGACTGTAAAATCTTAAACTCAGATAATCAGGAGAGCAGTGACTGCTCTGTTGTAGTTCTAATGGAAGTATGCTCCTACTTAAACACGGGGATGGCGTTCCATTACTTATGGAGGAGGATAGTGACTCCATGCATGACAGTCAAGGACCTTTACCCTCTTGCTTTCCATCCACATTTTAAACCATTCTTCTGCTGTTGACTTGCTCAAATCACAAAAGAATGTTTCTGAAGTATATTACACGTTTTTAAACTTCTGTTGTGTTCTTATCTGTCATTTTTACCTAAAGCAATCTTTTTACTCTTCTGTTATGTTACTCACTTTCTGAGGCTGTTAACTCTGCTGTGAACATTGGTCTGATAACCTATCCTCCTGTACAGATTTAAACCTAATTATACTTTGTTACTTTCTCTAGTCTTTGCCATATTTATCATACTTTTTTCTTTTTGTCTCCCTTCTCTTCCTTTCCTTCTTTCCTGAAGTTAAACACATGGCCTTAAACGTGTTAAGTTTGCATTCTAGCACTGAGCTACACTCCCTGTTCCTATTTATCACATTCTTTTTTAATCTGTCTAAATATAGCTAGCTCCACAGGGGAGATTTTATCTTCCTGTATTGGAGATTGACGTTCTCTCCCACTGAACTACTTCTTCAGCCCTAAAATTGTTTTGTATTTGTTTTTAGATCCATGATTCCTAGAAAGTGCCTGATAGAGATAGTCATCTAATAAATACTTGTAAAACAATTATATGGGAGGGATGATATCATTGGCAGAAATAGAACTGATGAAAAGGGAACCAAGTTTCAGGAAAATCAAAAATTTAATTTTAAAAGTCAAAGGAACAATACAGCACCAGTATGTCAGATGGAGGTGTTAATAATTTTTAAAACATTGGAATGAATAATAAAGATTTGTTTAAGTAATAAACTATAAAGTCTCAGCTTTGGTCTTTCTTTCTCTCTTTCTCTCTTATTCTTTTTTTAATAAAAACTGAAATCTTTAAGAAGACACCAGCTTACATTTTTTTTTTTAAAGGAAAGGAAGGGGGGATCAGTAGGTGCTCAGTGGTGAAGCACACACTTAGCTGCATGACACGCTCAGCAACCCCTCGCCAAAGCAAGGGGAATTCAAGTTCACTAAACCTTATTATATATAAAGATCTTTTTCTTATCTAGTAACTTCTTTACTCATAGATTATACCTAGAGTTTAGAGTTATATTTTTATGTCTTTAATCCTAGGAACAATGATTTGAGGTAAGAGATGCATATAATGTGGAACCCTAGTGGGAGAAGAGTGAGGAACCAACAAAATTTTCGTCTTTGTATGAGTGACGAGTTAAGAACAAGTCTGCATTTTAGGAGAATGACTATGAATATGGATATTGATGAAAAATAAGAATCTATCATTTAAAAATACTTCATCTTTTTGTAAAATTGAGTGACAGGCATTTGTCTTAGAGTAGTACACATTTGTTTTTACTAATGCAGAATCTTTGTCAGTTATTTAAGTGCACCCTCATCTCTCCTACATTTCCATTCCTGTCCTTCCTTTACTCTGTTTGGTTCCTGATGCTGACCCTAGGCCAACCAGATTCTCTTTCCCAGGAATTTAAAATTTGAATAGAGATGTATGGTGATACAAGCTGAATAATCCAAAGTACCATTGATGGGTCACTGTGAATTACCACTTTTGGATTTTTCTATCAGTTAGGTCGTTGGTTGGATACAATAGAATCTAGTTCTGATTTAATGTAAGGAAAGTAAAACAGAAGTAAACAACAAAAAAAGCAAGATTTGGTGGGGATACTGGTTAACTTGTAAAGCTGAAGAAGAGCTAACTGGCTTCTGTTGGGAGGAAGGGAAACCAAAGATCTCTAGCCTGTTTTCATAGAAGTGCTGTAACTGAATGGTTCTGCCTCAGCTACTTTCCTTTCCTCCAAGTATGTGTCCAGATTCATTGGAGAAAAACTCTCAGGAATGGGCCTAATTTGAATTGTGGACACTATTTGGGGTCAGGCAGGATCTTGTTGTCAGAACTGTGTGGGGCAGGAAAGGAGGTTATTTTCCAAAAAGAACCTATGGTGTTGTTAATATATAAGCAGAAGAGGATGATAGAAACCAACAAATTAGTGGCCCATTACATTGTTACCTGTCCAGCACAAATACATTCTTCTTGTTTAGGGAGTTCCACTTCTTCCACTGTCCAAAGTCATATAACTGTGCCATTTAGAAGTTCACATGCATTAATGACTTCTCAAAATAAGCAACCTGCAGTAGCATTCAGTATTTACATACTGGGGTGCCCTGCATCTAGATGTCTGTTCCACCTCTGATTTGTTATCCTAGATGTTCTGGAAAATTTTGGTTAACACATTGTCATCCTGAATTCAATAGTAAGAGAAAATGAAAATGAAAGATACGTGGCCCAGTAAACAAGAGAATTTGTAGCTATATATGACTGCATTCTTTCATCTTTTTTGTCTAGTACCTCAAATGATTGGGTTTGTTTGATGAAGGACACGCCTTTAACTTTGTTCTGAGAGAGCAGAGCTTTCTGTTGTTGGTTCTGTCTTGCTCATATAAAGCTATAATAATTTTGCAAAAATATTTTTCAAGCTTGGTACATGGCAAGAATGGCATTTGGGGGTTCCTGAGACATCCCCACTTGTTCAACTAGTACGAAGAACCTATAGTGGTCAGATGACACTTAGATTCTAATTCAGGAGAATTATTAGTATATCCTCTGATAGAGGACATTACACAGAATTTTTAGGTACTAAAACTACAAAAGAGTCCAGTATAGCAGAGAAACAGAAATTTTAAACCAAGTTTTTAGGTGTAATCATGAGAGGTGACAGAGTCATTTTCTATCTTCTGGTTCCTGGGGTGTAATGAATTTTACATATTCCAAAAAGGAAACTCTAAAATATTAAAATGGAAATAATGAGTGATAACCATGACTTTCCCTTAAAGGAAAAGCTGATGAATTGTTTTTCTGGGAAGGGTCAAAAATGTAAACCGGTGTACAACAATTTAAAGCTTTTGCATGAGGCATATTTAAAGACAAATATACCCAGATTGTTTCCATGCATGTTTAAAAATATTTTTTCTTTTCTTTTCAAATAATAGCAGGTTTATATAGAGGGTTTAATGTGAAGTTCTACATCTGTTATACTTGAAATTGCATGAAAATAGCAGTAATTGTTGAAGTCCTGTTTTCATCATACATAAAGTGGAAAAGAGGCATGTTAAAAAAATAAGAGGCAGATTTTTCTTCTTTTAGAAAAAAAATCCTTAAGGTTGGTGGTACATGTCCATAGTCCCAGCTACTCTGGAGGCTAAAGCAGGAGGATTGTAAATTTGAGGGCAGTCTATGAAACATAGCAGGATCCTGTCTCAGAAAAGAAAAGAAAAATCATTTCTAAAGATAAATATTTGGTGTTAGTATCTGAAATACATAGGGACTAATCACTGTTTTTGGATATTTTAGGCCTTGCTTATCCAAGAGTCAAGATGGAAGTTACCGCACCTATTACAGTTGCCTGAGAATTACAATACCATTTTTCAGTACTACCACAGGAAAACCTGTAGTGTCTGCACCAAGGTTCCTAAAGACCCGGCTGTTTGCCTTGTTTGTGGTACTTTCGTGTGCCTCAAAGGACTTTGCTGCAAACAACAAAGTTACTGTGAATGTGTACTGGTAAGCAAGAGAAAGTAGTACAAAATCATGAAAACTCAAGTCTCTGGGAAATCTGATGTATGTTGTCAAATCAGAGCTTCACATTTAACTAGCATTTGAATTAAACATACCAGTACTATATAGAGAGATTGTGTTTTATTTTTTAATTCAGCAGAAGAGAATTTAAAAAAAAGAAAAAACCCAAGGATTATTTTAGTGAGTAAAATCTCTCTTAAATGCAATTCTGATTCTCTTTTCTCTTAATTTTTTAAGAGTACTTAAAAGTATGTATTTTTTTAAATGTGCTATCAAACAGCAGTCATCTGTACTGTGGGGAATGCTAGCTGTTGAATTAAGAGTGGCCTTTAGTTGTTTAATATATTAATAATAAAGGGTTGTAAATTTAAAGTAGATGAAATCTTACTTTAAAATTTTAAATATTTAGGAGTTGTTAAGGTGGTTGATTTTGTCATAAATCCCATTTGATTATGAAATGAACTGATACATTTTAAATTTTTTAGCATTCTCAAAACTGTGGTGCTGGAACAGGGATTTTCCTTTTGATCAATGCGTCAGTGATTATCATTATTCGAGGTCACCGCTTCTGCCTCTGGGGTTCCGTGTATTTGGATGCTCATGGAGAAGAAGACCGGGATCTTAGGTAGGATCTGTGTAGATTCATCCAAGAGTATTAATGAAGTTTGATTAATAAAAACCTGTGTGCCATTTGGGCCTTATAGTCATGATTTTTAAAGAAAAATAAGTTATGATGATCTTTAATTTAGAATAATTTCCAGTTTTTAAGATATTTAACTCATCAGCATGTTAGAGAAACATGAAATAAACCGAATTACTGATACTTCTGTCACAAAGGACTTATTTAAAAAAGAAATGCATATGAAATATTAATTGCATTATGTTATCTTTAATACTTTTTTTCTATTTTTATTCCAGGCGAGGCAAGCCTCTCTACATTTGTAAGGAAAGATACAAAGTTCTTGAACAACAGTGGATTTCTCATACTTTTGATCACATCAATAAAAGATGGGGTCCACATTATAATGGACTATGACTTACCACCTCAGCATTTCATATCATCATTTTCATTAGGAATTTATTTTATCACAATAAGCTTTAACTTAATTTAGGGGATTAATGCTTTTGCTGAAGGAAAAAAAACATACATTATGAAGCCTTTTCAAAATTAGGTGCTTGGTAATCACATTAATGGTATAATAATTTTTTTAAAGTACCTGGAAAACTTAACAAATAAGTTAAATCATTCTTTAGTGGTCATTTTTTTAAGTGCACAATTAATAAAAAGCACAATATGTCCACAAAATCATTCAGAAATGATTCCCCCAACAGAGCATATCAGCTATTTATTGACACTTAGAGTGGGTGTGATTTATTTGAAGTTTTACTGTTTTTTCGATCTGTATTTTAATTTGCATCGCCTAAACATAATGTATCTTTTTTCTCTGCCATTCTTGTTTGATTTGAGGTTTTTGCTGTATGTAATTAGAAAAAAATGTAAAACATGATTTATGTGAAATATTGTATAGTAAAAGTTGGTCTGATAGTAGAACTTTAAAATTTTTTCTTATTGTGAGGATCTGTTAAAAGTTTAAGGCTTTGCTGAAAACTTAATTCATTCTCAGGAATTTCATAAATATTTTCCCCAGGTAAATAATTAAAATAGCTGTAAAATAAGTAGATAGCTGCTGTTAATATAATACAGTACATGGTGGGGGGTATGTGTGTGGTTAGGGAATACTTAAAAGTCAAAGTTTTGGGGCTGCAGATGTAACTCAGTGGTAGAGTGCTTGCCTAGCATGCACAAGGCACTGGGTTTGATCTTAACCAAAAAAAAAAAAAAAAAGAATAAAGGAAAAAATCAAAATTACCAAAACTTGCCATTTCATTTGAATGAATTATTACAGATAGTAACATAGATTTTTACTATAAAATCAAAAAGTTTTAGATTATACACGTGACAGATTTTGAGTCTGTGCATGCCCACCTTTCATTATTAACAAAGCTTTTGTTTATATGGTTGGATTGGAAATGCTCATACTTCCCTACAAATGAGCCATAAGTTTTAGAACTTCCCTGCCAGCTCAAGAAGCTCAGCTCTGTTTTATTCATGCAGTGTAATCACTGTTATTTCTGCTTGGTTTCCTAGAAGGAAAAAGAAGTAGTGATGACCCTCATGAATGACCCAGGCATCCACATTCTTCTTAGAAACTGCTGTGAAAAGCAGTTTATGTTTGTAGGGTTTTAAAGTCAGTAAGAAAGAGAATGATTGAGCTCAAACCCACTCTAGAATTAGGAAAGAAAGATTAAAGCATGTTATATATTGATACCAAGATTTTTTTCCCCCAAAATGGTTCTGTAATTTGATAATCATTTCATTTATAGTGTTATCAAGCTATTTCCTGGTAGTCTGTACTTCCATGGCTTGCTATATGAAATTACATTTTTACATGTAAGAATAAGAAATGTCTAATGATAAAACATAGAAATAACATTAGATCCATGTTTCAAAATTTCTTATGTGAAATGACAAAATATGAAAATGAACATTAAATGATGGGTTTGCATTAAAATAGGGAAAACAGAGCAGTACATACTCAAATATGTACAGAACATCAAAAAATTAGGTATTCTGTACAAGAAAATATGTGGAAATAGTTTGCTATTTTTGTATACATTTCCAAAATATTAAGGTAACTTTCTGTAAAACTAGACTGATTCTGTTTGACTAAATCACTATCCTTTCTGACACATGCTACTTTTTAAAATATTGTATCATAAGTTCAGCCTGTTATATTTTTTGCATTGCTCATTATGGATACCAGACCATTTGCAAGTGTGGTTAAAGAGCAAAATGCTTATTTACATCTCTAGTAAACACTGTTACAGGATTCATGAACTTGAATAATTCTACAGTTTGAAACTCTGATACTATATATACATGGCATAATGTATTCAGACTTTGATTACTACATATTTAAAATGGAATGTTTTATGGTTGTGCATATGGATGTGAAGTGAAAATATTAGCCTTAACTTTAAAATTTGGGTATTTGATAGTGTTTATTTTGATATTGGTGAATTAGTCACCGGTAAATTTTAAAAAAAGCACTTGGTTGAAAATCGTACTTGAATACATACATGCATGCTGCTAAACTAGAACTTTAATTTTTCCCCATAACTTTTATAAGTCCCATTTATAAACCCACTTTTAAAAATAACAGGTCCAAGTTAGAGTGATGTGTGTATATTATTCCAAAAAAATGTACTGGTGTGATATCTTGTATGAATGATCATTTAAATACAGTACATTACTGTAGAAACTAAATCAACCTTTATAATTAAGCAGAAATTATAAACTAGGAATAATCAACATTGTAAAATATGTTAATAAAAACCTGCTGTCATTTGGTTTGTGAAAGGTCCTTAAATTGTTTAATGCTTTATGTGTTTCTTTATTTCAAAGATGTTGACAGTAATATATATGAGTGAGCATGACTTAAAAGATCAAAGAATAGCATAACTAGTAGTTGTCTTAAGGTGAATTAAGTATGAAAGGTTGGCTTTATCTTTTGCCTTTTATTTGTAGAGCAAGTTTTGTCTTGGTCTCATAACCAATGTGAAGCCTTTGCTAAGATGTGTGTTTCTGACATAGGAAGAAAGAGAGAGATGTGTAGATCTAGATACTGCTGTGGTCCCTGCTCATTTCTGAAAGTTCCAGATATATGTTGAAATACAAAGTGCTTCATGATAAATGTTGATTTTAAGTAGTTGGTTTGAAGTGACAGTTCTCACCCTGAAGCTCACCAGCTAGTTGTCAACTAGAAATCTGTTTAAATTTCAGACTTTTCATTTGGTTCTGTACATGCTGATATTACTGATTTCTGTAACTTTGAAAAAAATGCAGATTAAAAGCATTGAAGGTTTGGAGGTAATAACAGCATTGACAAGACTCTGTACCATCTCCAGAATTGTATCACTGACTCTCACGTACCTGTTGTTAGCTTATATTTTAGGTCATGTTGGAAAAGAAAAAAAGGCATTGTTTTAGCCACTAGAGTGACACCACCAGGCAAAGTGAGCATTCACTGGTAGGTATGCATGATACTGGGTGGTTGTGAGACAGCAGATGACTTGTGAGCGTTGACTGAACATAGGCCTTCCCTCTATGGCCTTTTGATCTGGCTGGGTGGTGTCAAGCACTGCTTAGTTCAGTGGAGATCCTCTGGAGTGGATAGAATTACTAGTGTGGTTGCTTCTCTGTTTATGACACTTCAAGTTGTATTAATCAGGCATATCAAGTATGGAAGGGCTATTCCTGGCCCGCTTACTGTGTAGTAACCAAGTAGTGGAATGAATGTGCTCCGGGGAGTGCAGCACAGTGACCAGGCACAGTGAGACTTGTATAGACATGCTTCTCTGTGAACTAATGTGTGATGTGACTGTGACAAATTGATGAGGGAAGGCCCAAGAGCACAGCAGGAGAGGGTCAAAAGCATAGTTAAAGGCTTCAGCTAGACAGCAAGGAACATATGCAGCATGATCAAAAAATATGAGTGTGGTTTTTAACTTTTTTTCATGCCTAAATCTTGTATCTTGAATAATTACTTTTAAGATAATGACATGCTATATATTAAGTAATGTTGATTTCCTATTTTTTGAAATTCTTGATTTATCTTTTGTTTTTAAAATAAAATTACAGTTAAAGATATTGCCACCAGTCACCCTCAAAATACTCCCCCCTCTTTAAACATATTTATCCTGTTGTTCTTGCCACTTTCAAAGTGGCTCAGCAAGTCCACTTCCATGAGTGTCTTTAGTTGTGCAGTTGTGGCTGCTGCTCAAGGAAACCATGGCCTAAACTAGACCATTTCTAGTTTTCCTTTTCCATGTTGTTTCGTGCTAGGTTTCATTCTGATGGCTGCAAATCTCCAGGCCACCATACAGATGAAACCAAGATAGCAGCTGACCTTATTTTCAAGATAGGATAAAGCACAGTAAACCAAAAGTCTCTCCTTAAGGCCTTGTCCTCTTTGTTCAGCAAGAGAAGCTCTTTTCAAGTACACTTTTATATACATCTCACTAGTAATGTTAGGTGCCAGTTGCTAACTGCAAAGAAATCTGGAGTCCCTATGCTAGAGGAAGGAAGATTATGAGTAGCATCTAGTGACTAATTCAGTATCTACCCCACTTTATCTCATCTGTGCAGTGGAGACAATAGCTAATATGATCAAATGAACATAGATATTCTGGCTTCCAGTCATAGCAGATTAAATGTTTCAGACTACATTAGTTACTGGTAGCTATATAACAAGTTATCCTAGATAGAAGTGTGATGGTGCACACCTATAGTCCTAGCTCTCAAAAGGCTGAGGCAGGAGGACAGCCATAAATTCAAGGCCAGCCTGGACTACGTAGCAAGATCCTGTCTCAGAAACAACAACAATGACAAGTTGACCTAAAACATAATGCCACAGTACAGTTTGTGTTGCATCAGTTTGTGAATCCGGAATCCAGAGGCAACTTCATTAGGTGATTTTGTCCAAAGTCTTTTATGTGACTGCAGTGACAGCATCAACCAGGACAACAGTGAGAGCTAAACTCATTCACATATCTACTGGCCAGAGACTGCAGTTTCTTGCCATGAGTGCCTCTCAGTAGGACTGGTAGCATAGCAGCTGGTTCCCCAGGACAAGTGATTCAAAAGAAGGTGAGAGAGACGGAGAACATACTTACAACTGTGCTTTTGATGAAAGTTCTAGTGTCCCTTCCTCCCTTCTCCTTTTTTCCCCTTTCCCTCCCTCCTTCCCCAGGGAGGACTTCATGCATGCTAGGCAAGCACTCTGTCACTGAGCTGCATCCCCTCCCACCAGTGTCCTTTATTACCTAATCTTGGATATAGCATATTATTCCTGTCACATGTATCAACCCTGATGGGAAGGGATTACACGAGATTGCAGGTATGAGAAGATGGAGATCATTAGGGGCTCATGTTCCTGGAAAGGACTCAAAATGCCAAATGGACAGACAAGAGAGTACTGAAGGATCAGCATTTGCATAATCCTAAAGCATGTGCCCGAAGATTTATATTCCAAAGGGAAAGATGAAAAGAGAAACTGTAGAGAAACATGGTGAACCTCACTTTAGTCAAGTGATTAAGTTAATTTTCTCAAGTTTTGTTTTGTCTTTGATTTTTGTTATGTAGTTCAGGCTGGCCTTGAACTCACTGTGTAGCTTATGCTGGCCTCAAATTCTTGGCCATCCTCTGTCCTCAGTTTCCCAACTGCTGAGATACAGATGCGCCACCACCACATGTGGCTGTCTCCTTAATATGATTCGCTGAAAAGTATACAATATCATTTATGTTGTTTAACTACAAAAAATCAAAAAAACTTTATTCCAATTTGCAAAAGCAGACAAATTGAACTAAAAGACATCTGTAAGACTAAAAGTTACAATTTAACAGTACTTTTAGAAAAATGGCAAGGTTATTAAAGATTAAAAGATTAAAAAAAATTTTATTGGACTGCAAAGTACTAAAAAGAAATAACTAAAAGTAAATGTAATGCAGAATCTTGGACAAAATCCTGACATGGAAAGTGAAGTTAGTAGAAACTGGCAAAATTCAAATAAGGTCTGTTGCTTGGTAGTATTAAACTAATGTTAATTTTCAGTTTGATCGTTGTACTATGGTTGTGTGAGTTGTTGATGTTAAGAGAAACAGGGTGAAGGGTACCTAGGAATTCCTTGACTAGTCATGCAATTCTTTAAATGTATTTTAAATTTAAATGTATTTTTAAATGGTTAGTTTTACAGAGCACTTATAGTTTAAGAAAATTGTCCTGAAATAAAAGACCTAAGTTCATATTGAGAGAGTACACAATGTACAGGAAAAATTGTCCTCAATAGAAAACTTTTTGATTTATTATAAAAGTTCCCAGGGCTTCTAGGCCCAAACAAACAAAAACAAAAAAAAAATCTAAAAAGAACAATAGAAATACACTAATGTTTAACAGTTTTTCACAGACAACAAAACCAAAACAGAATTAAGCAAAATTGTTTTAAAACCTCAAGAAAAGAAAATGTAACCCAGTGATTTATTTACAGTTATGCTGACCAAATATCAAGACCATAGAAAAAGTTTGAAGCATGAAGGTGTGAGCCTTTTTAGAGACAATCTAAGATTGGCTTCATTCACCCAAAAGTCTGATGGAATGGAGTGGTTAATTGTACTCCACCTGTAAAACAAACTTGGATCTTGATCATGGATCACTAATGCTTTCCAGTACCCGAAAGAAAGGAAAATATCAGGAGGATGATTACACCATCCAGATCCTCAAATCGTTTCTGGAAGTGTTTCAAATAAAGTGAAGAATTTGATGAGGCAGCACACATAAGCCAGAATCAATAGAAGAAACAGATCACAAGGATTCCAGATACTGAAATTATTTGATGCATATTGTAATGTTTTCTATTTAAAAAAAATTAGAAATTCTGGTGTTGAAAGATAACCAAAATTAAGACCTCTGCAGCTGTTCAATATCAGATACGATGTAGCTAAGGAAAGACTTTATAAACTGTACTATAAATCGGAAAGATCTGTCTTGAACACAGACTGAAAGATGGGAAATGAGTAAGAGAAGTAGAAGACATAATGATTACAAGTGAAACTACGTGTAATTGAAGTTGCATAAATTTAAGAGGGGGGAACCTGTGGCAGAAACAATACCAGAAGAAAGAATGGAGGAGGATTTTATTAAAGTGATGACAGGTTTTGAGCCATAAAATGAAGTTCAGTAGGTCATAAATAGCAAAAGCTGCACAGAGGGAAGATGATGGGTAACTGCAAAAGACTTCTGTCTTCTAAATAATAATATTGAAAATAAGACAATAGAAAAATAAAAGCACTTTAAAGCACTGAAAGAAAATAACCTCTATCCAACAAATATTCTTCAAGGATGAACAAAAAATAATATTAAAAATGGAGAGAATTTAGCAGCAACATCCTTATTATGGAAGAAAAGTCAATTGGGAATTCCTCAAGCAGGAAAAAAAGATTGACTTTCAGTAAGAAACAAAAATCTGTGGCAGCTATGTAAGCACAGTTAAGGAAGTATTCATTGTATGAAATGATCATGATAATTCATTACATGGGATATCAGGGTGTCTGTATGCACATATTTGACAGTAGACTTAGCTGACAGAAGTAAATGGAGCCAAAGTATTCCAAATTCTTGCCTTATCTCAGAAGAGGACAAAAGTTCATGCTATGCTTAGTTGTGTTTGTGACCTTGGATTAGGCAATAGTCTCCTACATGTGAGCACAGGGAACCTACCATCCTTAAATAATTGGATTTCATCAGAATGTAAGGTTTTTGTTCTTCAGAGGACACTATCAAGAAAGTGAAAAGACAGTCCATAGATG